TAGGAAATGGGGCCATTTATTAGAGAGAGCTTCGGCACACTCATTCAATTACCGTGGAGTATGCATTTACTAAATATTAGGTTTCAATTCGGCCACATTCTTTCAATCGATTCACTGAATTAGGTTCGGAGAAAGCTGGACATTCATCGGCTGTAATATGATGTTGATAGAAGATGATACTGAGTAACTACATGTTAGTGTTCTCGAGAGAGGGCACCACGGTGGGCTGGGGTGGGAGTAGGGTGAGGGGTGGGGGTATTTGGATGGGCATGTCCCCACACTGGGACTTCATGATTGGGAAACTTAAGGTTCTTATATCTGGGTTATCAAGGGACCGACCATTTGATTTCTGGGCGGTGGGGGATGGGAGGGTGGGGGAGGAAGAGACACTGGGATTTTTAATTGAGAATATATATTCTTGGTGCTACAGCTACAAAAACAGATTTTATATTTAATGCCATGAGTCTGATGTTTGGTGAAGTAAAATCACCATACTACAAAGCAATTTCTGTGGCAGGCAATTGTTTTTCTAAATATATAAAACAACCTGCCGCATAGCATAATTATATTTTTTCAAGATTTATACACACACACACACACACACACACACACACACACACACACACACACACAAATCGTCGCTTTAAATCATTTGGTGAACCTGTTCGTGTGTGCTGACATCCTCGATCATCTAGTGCTTTACATCTCCATTCTATTATTATGATAAATACCCTGGAACCATTCGCTACCGTGGCGCCAAGACGCGCTTTAATTCCATCGAGTTGATTTTTCCAGTCTTTGCTCTCTGTCTGGTTTCCCTCGGCCAGTAATGTTTTAGGTGGGAGCGTAATCACTCCAGCTGCCTGGTCACATTATGAAGCCTCCCAGAGTTCCAGCTGTAGTATTCACAATCGCCATTAGGACAGGGGGAAATTCATCCAATGTTGATAAGTCAGTTGAGACATGTTAACGCGATTATTAATAATTCATATCAGATCATACGCTTCCAAGAACATTCGACCATTTCTACCGCCGACGATATTTGGAGTATTCACTGCTTTTCATTGTTAACTGGGGATCGTCGTTGCCAGATATTACCAAACAAAATTCAGTCCGTCTGACCAGTTACAAGTGTGAACGTTATTCATATTCACAGATGCAAATACCACATCAAAGCAGGGACAATGGGTGAATGTTGTTTAACGCCTCGGGGAGCAATATTCTAGCTATTTCAGAAAATACTCGACTCTGGGCAAGGGAAATCAGTGATTCAGGGCATGAACAACGGTCTTCCGGTACGAAGGTTCGTATTCATGAAGTTCATACATTGTTACTACATGGGCCTCAGTACACTCGACGCAATCTACATGCACGGCGACTAGAAACTACTCGGGTTTATGAACCCGCCACCAGCATGCGTCATATCAAGGTGAAGGTTATGGTTTTGCCAAGGTGAAGGTAATGCGTAATTTCAAGGTGAAGGTGAAGATAACGCTCAATATCCTTGTAAGGGGAGAAGGTAAAGCATATATCAAGGATATGTAAATAATCAAATCAGAACATGACATGATATTATGAGCATCGATCCACGTTATTGGAATACGATGACATGTCAGCGAGCCTGACCACCCTATCCCGTAAATCGGTTCTTACGACAAGGATAGTCGCCCACGGCAAGAATTGGTTGATGAAGATCTATTCTTCCCCGTATCTTCACGGGTCCCGCGTCATATGAAGATGAAGGTAACGCTAAACATCTGTTAGACGGTAAGGCCTTATATCATTGTCAAGGTAACGCTTAACATCAAGGTGAAGGTTGACGTTTCTAGCCAATCAGCCGTAGGATATTCTGCAGATATCAAATCAATGGCGGAATGAAGAGGAGGCTCAGAGGTTAAACGATACAGTATGAAGTTGTCAAGGGCCCATCCTCACTGCTCCCCGGTCCCGCCATCACCTGTTACTCACTCTCATCAGTATCCAGACCTGCTTCCCATGCAGCAACGCATCACATGCAGAAACGGACGTGACAATCACGCCTAAGAGTGTCATTATTGACGTCTGGCTGCTACAAACCTCACGGGCAGTTGATATTGTCTTGATGTGTCACCAGACCAGTAGAATGATCCACAGTCTGATTCGACACACGCTTGCTTTAACGCCATGTAGCTGAATTAACGGGACGTCAATCAAATAATGCTTGTCAATTCGGACCTTGAAGCCGGGAAATTTGATATTAGGGACATGTGGTGAAAAAGGCGTCGCGCGTGAAAGTGATTTATTTTGTTAAATGTGGCCACGACAAATTAATTATTTGTTCTTTCAGAGAGTTTTGGCATGCTTTACTGATTAGGAACAGTTTGGACGTGTTTATTACTTGGTTTTAGAATCCGCCGATCTAAAACTTAGAATAATATAAGTTTTGTACATTGCGTATATTTGCGGTCAGATTACGGCAGAAAAAACAAAGAGTAAATCAAATTGAAAAGATCATTTTAAGTTATGGTTAATTATGGATTACCCCAAATTGTTAGATGATGTTTGGCGTTACACATAAGAATAAGTCGAATATTTTTGACGACTGAAATCGTTTAATAAACCAAGGACCTCTATGTTAAATGCGAGGTGAGATGATTTGAGGTGGTTTAACGTCACGTTCATGATTATTGCACTTATACGTGCTTGTGCACGTACGTGCGTGCGTGGGTGTATGTGTGCTTATACTAGTCCACTAGTCTGTACGGTTTTATAGTGCTTGCCCACTGAGATACCATGCAGCGAACTTGTAACGGACACACTCGTCCATAGACTGTACGATCAGTGTTGGCAATTTGGGTTGGTATCAAAGACGTTACTTCATCCAGCCTGTGCGGAATCAGTGCCGTATGTAACATTTTACTGCGTGATGGTAAGCCTGTTTGTTATCGATGTAATTTGCCGGTCAACTTGACGATGTCCTTCAAAACGACGTTCGATCACACGGTACTTTAAGTTGGTGATTCCTTTGTACGCTCGTCGATTTGGTCATTAGTGGTACCTTAGGCCAGGTAACTACACACTGGGCCACAGTACCTTAGGCCAGGTAACTACACACTGGGCCACAGTACCTTAGGCCAGGTACATCACACACTGGGCCACAGTACCTTAGGCCAGGAACATCACACACTGGGCCACAGTACCTTAGGCCAGGTAACTACACACTGGGCCACAGTACCTTTGGCCAGGTACATCACACACTAGGTGACAGTACCTTAGGCCAGGTACATCACACACTGGGCCACAGTACCTTAGGCCAGGTACATCACAGACTAGGCCACAGTACCTTAGGCCAGGTACATCACACACTGGGCCACAGTACCTTAGGCCAGGTACATCACACACTGGGCCACAGAACCTTAGGCCAGGTACATCACACACTGGGCCACAGTACCTTAGGCCAGGTACATCATACACTGGGCCACAGTACCTTAGGCCAGGTACATCATACACTGGGCCACAGTACCTTAGGCCAGGTAACTACACACTGGGCCACAGTACCTTTGGCCAGGTACATCATACACTGGGCCACAGTACCTTAGGCCAGGTACATCATACACTGGGCCACAGTACCTTAGGCCAGGTAACTACACACTGGGCCACAGTACCTTTGGCCAGGTACATCACACACTGGGTGACAGTACCTTAGGCCAGGTACATCACACACTGGGCCACAGTACCTTAGGCCAGGTACATCACACACTAGGCCACAGTACCTTAGGCCAGGTACATCATACACTGGGCCACAGTACCTTAGGCCAGATACATTACACACTGGGCCATAGAACCTTTGGCCAGGTACACTATACACAGGGCCACAGTACCTTTGGACAGGTACATCATACACTGGGCCACAGTACCTTAGGCCAGGTACATCATACACTGGGCCACAGTACCTTAGGCCAGGTACATCAAACACTGGGCCACAGTACCTTTGGCCAGGTACATCACACACTGGGTGACAGTACCTTTGGCCAGCAACCTTTCTTTCCTATTTGTAAGTGTGCGAACGTTGTTTATAGTTTTAGCTAAAATGAGGCAACACAACAAAAACTATGATATTTAACATCATAAACTGTCCAAAGATAGGAAGTAAATGACAATCCCACATGAGGTGTGAGCTAAATGAGATTCATAGAAAAATATCTCGAACATTGCTGTCTTTACTCACAATAAACCGCCGTCATATAGCTAGAATAGTGCGGCATTAAACAACAAACAAACAAACTATACCCACAATAAACCATACGCAGCAACAATAAAGCTGTCGGTGCATGACGTACAAGTAATGATTCCGGGTTGGACAGAGCTGTCACTTTGCGGAGATATCGGTGTCCTCTGCGTTCAATGTCAATGAATGAATGAATGAGTGAGTGAGTGAGTTGGGTTTAACGCCGCTATTCCAGTATTCCGGTTATATCGCGGCGTGTCAGCTTAATGTGGGAGGAAAGCCCTAAGTGTTGCAGGTCTTAGACGTTTACCACTTCGGTGAAACCCACGAGCACGGGTATGGTGCTGACAAACCTAGAAACATAATCGGGGAGAACCGGAATGAATGAATGAATGAATATAGATTGTTAAGCGTTAGAATAAACATTCATGAACAATCAGCAAAACAGATATTAGAAGATATTTGAATGTGTAAACAAAAAATATCTTTCATCAAACTTGATATAAGGAGAACAAAGTAGCGTAATTATATAAAAAACAAAACATATCGATCCCCTTGTCACGTTCAAATCCGATCTTGCAACATTTAACATAGTTTTTGTAACATTTTCAAACGTAAATACCACGTGTGGATTTCGGGCAGATTACGTCCCAAGATCCCATTGCTTGGTATTTGAGACGACATGCCTCGTGTGATCGTACGTCAAGTTGAGAGCAACGAACTTTAAACCACTTTTTGCATGCACTAATGCAGAGGTTTCAGCCAAAGGTAATAAATTTATTTTCTTCTGCAGAACAGCACAAATGAGACGACTACTAACGGTTCTGACGGCCCCACTGATGGCGCTCACAGTGTCGTATTTACAGGAGTTGTCATAGTAACGGCGACAATACTTGCTCGCATCGTCAATTAAGGTAAGTCTGGCCATTTGACTTGACATCAAACCCAGAAAAAAATCAATACAATCGAATATCATTTTAGAGCATCTTCAAATGTTACATATCATTTGAAATCGGGCATCTTCTGGAACGAAACATCAGATATCCACGTCTCACCTCGCCAGAGCGCATGCGCATAGGAAATAGAAATTACTGATCGGTAGCGTGCGTCTGTACAAAGGCTACAGATGAAAGATGGTTGATGAAGATGAAGGATCCTGATTCACGTTGTGGCATGTAAGATTCTTCCTAATTACTTTGGATTCTGCATTCGGCGATGTAGAATTCCGTTTCCGGTGTAGGTTTGTCCGATGTACTCTATTTCCTCTTTTTAAAAGATCACGTCACGTGCTCTGACGTCATGGTTACTATTTCTGAATGCAGCCCAGACGGATGTCGTCAAGGAAGATGGCGTAGGCTACAAGCTTCAATTTGTCTCTGAAATATTTGTCATTGATTTGGGTTTAATGCCGCGTTGAAGGGTATTTCAATTTCATCAGGCGTGTCAGCTTGACGTGGGGGGAAAGACCGAAGTGACGTAGGTCTTAGACGTTTACCACTTTAGTGAAACCAACGAGCGCGAGTAAGGTAGAAACAAAACTAGAAAGATAATCAGGGCGAATCTGCGAACCAACGATCACAGGATTCTGGTGCTCCTAAGGGTCGTAACTCTGGACAGTAAATTGCGGCGCCTTACGACTTGGCCAAGCCACTGACACGCACGTGTGCTCGCGCATATTCATCCACCAATGAGGCCAAACAAATGTTCCAGTTTGTCTTACGTCTTTGTGAAATACATTTTATCATCCAAAACTGGCTTCCACGTGCGATATCGATAAGTTCATGCGATATCTTTTTGCAGACCGTTGTTATGGCAACCGTTGCCATGACGTCACAATCACATGACATCACTAAGCTCGCTTACACTGAAGCTTGTTAGCGGTACTTTCTACACTCAAGACGCTGGTTATTTACAGTTTACACACGGAAAAATGATTATAATGATACATAGAATTTCACCCTTGTGTCTTTTGATATCAAACAATTGCCTGGCAAAAGAAGGTATACATCCATGTTTGATGTAGGCTAAAAATTGGCTAAACAAAACAAGAAATGGTTATTCGATGGCGACGTGATAGCGGTGTTATAGCCGATATAACATGCATCTTATCAATGATTTTTATGCCTCATTTGATTGACCAATCAGAAAGCAGAACTACTAACTATGATGAGCCCGTATACCGTCAGGAAAAAATCAAGATGGCTGTTTCTGACCTCATATGAGACCGTCTACCGTTAGTAACAGCCATCTTGGGTTTTCTAACACCCACTTCACATATTTCACATGAAAATTCTAGTACAGAAATTTGTGCGAAAAATAGTATTGAGTCTGACACCTTTGAAAGCAATATTGGCGATAAAGCAAGGGTTTATTTTATGTCTGTTTTTGTTGTCCTTCTTTGTCAATGAATTAGCTGTACAAATTCAGCGGAACTGTTCTGATGGCATCCAACTTCACCAGGAAACTATAAGGTTGTTTTCTTCTTTTGTTTAACGATGATATAGTAATGTGTTATACCTGGACTACAAAAGCAAATTAATCAGCGGGGATGTTATTGCAAAGAATGGAATTTATCTGTCAACAAGAATAAGACAAAAGTTATTGTCTTTAAAAATGGTGGAACACTAGCTAGAAGAGAGAAATGGTTTCATCAAGGACATTCATTAGATGTTGTATCGTTCCATATGGGGTACGGGTGGCCCAGTCGTCTAAGGCACCGCTGTACAGAGTTGCGACCCTTGGGCATGCCAGAAACCTATGATTGTGAGTTCGAATCCCAGTTCGCCCCGATTATGTTTCTAGGTTTGTCAGCACCATACCCGTGCTCGTGGGTTTCACCGAAGTGGTAAACGTCTGAGACCTGCATCACTTCGGGCTTTCCTCCCACATTAAGCTGACACGCCGCGATATAACTGGAAAACTGTTAAAAGCGGCGTTAAACCAAACTCACTCACTCATTGTATCGTTCCATAAGTACATAGGTGTATATTTTACAAATAGATTGTGCATGCATGCTAACTATGCTGCTGTACAATGTAAGCAGATCTTAACTGGAATTCTTCAACATATGAAAGATCTTGGAAATGTAACCCATAATACGTTCTTAAAGATTTTTGATACAAAAATAAGCCCAATTGTGTTATATGGAGCAGGGGTTTGGGGATTAGAAATGATTGATGTTATAGAAAAAGTACATTTATATGCGAGCAAACGATTCCTTGGTGTGAAACCTAGAATATCTAATCTAATAGCCTACGGAGAATGTGGACGATACCGATTAACCATGTTTGCAAAGTTAAAGACGATAAAATACTAGATTAAATCAGTTAAAATGCCTGTAACAAGATATCCAAAGAAATGTTATAACATCCTATTACTCCATGATCAACAAGAACGGTCTGACTTGGCATCATCTGTTAAGCATCAGCTTTATTCATGAGGCTATGGTAATATAGGGACAGAACAGGACACGTATATACCAGATCTTTACCTGCTAAGTAAGGAAACAAAACGAATCACATCTAACAAAGGTGGCCTGCACGTGCCGTCGCAAGGAACATGGGGGGGGGGGGGGGGGGGGGGGGGGATGGCGGTCGGGTAGCCTAGTGGTTAAAGCGTTCGCTCGTCACGCCGAAGACCCGGGTTCGATTCCCGACATGGGTACAATGTGTGAAGCCCATTACCGGTGTCCCCCGCCGTGATATTGCTGGAATATTGCTAAAAGCGGCGTAAAACCATACTCACTCACTCAAGGAACTTGGGCGTGGCAGTATCACACCACAAAGTAATGAACAGAGTAAAGTGTGAACTTACAAGTGTATACTTGCTCGTCAGTTTGTATCTACAGTCGTCGACAAAAGTTTAAATTTCCTTTGCAAGGTGATGCATTTGATATGAAAAGTCAATCGGGAGAGATTCTCTACACATTTAATGGACCTATTATCTACTAATTGTGCGAACATAAAATAACTTCTGTCTTTATTTCCCTGCATAGGAAATATGGTTATTTTATCATTCGCTGGAATTGATTTCTAAAGACGTGTTTATCTTCCCATTGATATAAGTATCTATGTATACGGGACGTTCAATCGTTATTCATAATTTCCTGTTGGTATAGTATGATGAATGCATGTCCAAATATCGCCATTTTCTTCTTCAGAGAAATTCAGACATGAAATATGCCACGAGGCCTACTGATTCTTTCAAATGGCTACAGACGATCACAATTCTGCAGAAAAAATCTTTGATTCGATATCCCATGTTGTCCAAGTACGTGATTTACCAGAAAACCAATATTCAGCGCTGTGTCCTTCAATAGAACCGCACTTCCTCACAGACAGGAAAGATTTTTTTAAGTTAATAAATTCAGTAGAGTTCCTTTGAAATTTGAGCCCCAACCCTTTTATCGATCGCCTGTAAGTAGAAATATTTGGACAATGTGGAAATATGTATAGAAGGGGGATTTACATTAAGTATCATCACATCGTATTTTAGTAAGAAATATGCAACACTGAAATAACAAACTCGAGGCAATGTGAACAAGAATATACATCATGGGCATGGTGGTCGTTACAAAGGAACGTACAATGTAATACAGGTGACGTTAAGAAACGCTGGCGGTGGAGAGTGGGTGGATGGGTAATATGATAAAAACCCTTCGCATCATTTAAGAAAAGAGCACAGTGCTTTTAGCAATATTCCAACAGTATGACGGCGGGGGACACCAGAAATGGGCTTCACACATGGTACCCATGTGGGGAATCGAACCCGGACCATCGATATGACGAGCGAACGAATTAACCACGAGCTCCCCTACCGACCTGAAAGTTGTCAGCTGACTTTATTTGAATGAGCACAGGACATTTCATTTCAAGACTTAAATATTTTGAACTCCAAATGTTTAGGTAAGATTAGATTGACGAAATGCTGATATTAGAGCTTTTCATTAAGTGCTTTTGCTGATATTTGAACATGTGCAACTATTTCACCAAAGCTGATATCCTTAGGAGATGAAAAATCAGACGGTACAAAGTGTTTGTACGTTCATCTTTTGGCTTTTGGTTAGATTTTATTTCACTCATTTCAGGCACGAGTGGCCCAGTCTGTATGATCCTAGGGGGCACGGGTGGCCCAGTCTTCTAAGGCGCCGCAATTCGCTGTGCAGAGTTGCGTCCCTTGGGCACGCCAGAAACCTATGATTGTGGGTTCGAATCCCGGTTCGCCCCGATTATGTTTCTAGGTTTCTCAGCACCATAACCGTGCTCCTGGGTTTCACCGAAGTGGCAAACGTCTGAGACCTGCATCACTTCGGGCTTTCCTCCCACATTAAGCTGACACGCCGCGATATAACTGGAATACTGTTAAAAGCGGCGTTAAACCCAACTCACTCACTCACTGTATAATCCTAAGTCCAAATCTTGCAAGTCTAAGACAGAAACACATTTGGCGTGTGGTCACGTAGGCCCTTAATTTACCTCGCCCTTCGCCATTGTGTTTCCAGTTATAAAATGGGGACCCGAATGAATGAAATGGTTATTAAGAGTACGTATACAGCAAGCATGGGGTGTATACTCCCCATGGAGCTGAGAATGCAATTCAACGCACACCGATCTGTTAACCTTAGTAATAATAATATAGCGATATAGCGTGCCATGCTTTTGGCGTGGACACGACGCAACATGAATAATTTATTATGACATAATTATCATCACACTTTTGATCACATTTAAGACCCCCTTTTACCGAGTTCTGATTAAGGAGAGATAGAGTAGCGATGAATGGTTTGACCAACGTTAGTTTTGTTTTGCTACGGGTGCTCCTGTTTAATTCACACGGGGTACTCGAGTCTGAAATCATGTGTGGCTTATACTTAGTCTTTATCGGCATATGTTTTCCACAGCGTCGATGGGGGCAC